GAATTAGTAATGTTAGTAATGCCGCGCTCACTCAGGTTGCTATTTCGAGACGCTTGGCAATTTCCCGCCAAATTTTCCGGTGAACTTTCTAACCTCTGACCTTTCAACATGGTGGACGACGATGTGCCCGAGCGTACACCAGTCAGAAATTTATGACGTTTTCTTTATTTTACGTGTCTACTGAACAATTTGCTCTGCTAAAATGAAGCCAGATCAACACAAAAAGAAGAGGAGTGCACAATATAAGAGGAAACATGGCATCCAAGACAAAAGCAAGGACAATAAAGGGAAAGACGAAGACACGTCGTCGTCCAAGTCGTCCTCATCTAGCCGCTCAAAATCGTCCCAAGCACAGCGAGAGGGAAGTAGGGAGAACGACACTGGCAGAGGCAAAGATGACACAAGGGGAGGGACGAGAAAAGCTGCAGATTCTAGCGATGTAGGTAGCAGTGGAAAATATTTGCACAAAATTATGTGAGGGCCTTCATTCTTTCAACAAGGTTACATCTACATATCATAATAGCAAATGTTTTAATGCACGGGATATTTTGCAGATATGCCAGTATGCAGTGAGTTTATAAGTTACTTTATATACTAAATGCTGTATATATAAGTTACTATATATGCTACTATATATGCTATATTCTGGCCTGTCAACTACATACATAACATTACATTACATGTATTAAGACTATTAAGTAGTATACTTATCAGTAGATATAACAATATTAACTGTCTCACATTTGCATCATGATCATAATTAAGTTCATTTGGCCCAATAACATTAACATTACATCTCGCCTTTCCCTGCTGTATCACAGGAATCCTCACATTCAGAGGACGAGGCAGGGGCTGGTAGGACCTTCTCCAGGAGAAAAGTGCTGAGTAACTGGGACAGGTATGAAGCACCCCTGCCCCGCTACGAGGACAGAAGTGACGTGACACTCAGGGGTGCGGACTTCAGATCCCTTCTGGCCACATCAGGTAAGTCTTTGCTGCAGCTTCAGTGCAAGTTTGACAAATCCCAGCAGATCTGTAACCATCTCCTCCTAGCAAACTGGTTATTCCTCTGAAGCACCCCACAGTAGTAATCATTTTGACTACAAAGTGCTGTCCTGGACAACTTGAAAAGTGCTTCTCCCAGTATTCTATTGTACAGGCCGGGCAGTCATCAAAGTGATAACACATATGCAAAGGTTTTTAATGGGGAACCAACCACACTACTACTGGCATAATGGGTGTCCATTTTTCCTTGCAAGCTAACAATTTCTAGCTGTAGAGTGGTTGACCTGCAGAGATAATTATTTTAGTGAGTAACTGGTGTTACAGTTTTATCTTACCTGAGTGGCTATGTGTATGTAAAACTGTGACTTGTGAATGTTAGAGGAGAGCTGATGTGCAGTGTTGTATATATACATGTATCATCAGTACAATTGTGTTTTCATGACATGCTGTGTGGGTGTTTGCAGGTGAAGCTGAAGCTCAGTTCAGGTTTGAGGATGAGAAGGACTGGGAGGCTGACGAGGCAGGAGAAACACAGGTAGAAAGATGTACACAATCATGTGAAGTGAACATTTGTATGCCAAACAATAAATAAGAGTGCATTTTCACCATTTTTGGCATATCACACAGTAACTACAGTTACTACATATTTTGAGATGTTTCTAGCAGTGTTACTGTAAAAGTTACAGTTAAGTGCACGTGTATGTTTGTACACTGAGTCCTGGAAGGATTTTGACTGAATATTCTGTTGTTGTGCTATGTACAGATTGCTCATTCAGCATGTCAACAAAAGGAAGATGTACATGTACATGAATGTGACCAAAACATTACCACTCAGCAGCTACAAAAAAGTATGCCTATACATGCATAAGTAACACTGCATGTTTCATCCGCCCCTGTCCCAGCTCCCTACAGGAGGGCCCCTGTCCCTGGACTGTGACCTCCTGGCAGTGTCGCTACAGGCCATTCCTCTACACAGGAGACTCAACATCAGCCCAGAGTCACTCACGGTTGGTATCAGGGACTGTATCTCTTTACCTTTCTGCCAATAATCAGAGTTATAATCACCTGCCTAACATTGGTTCAGTTTAAGTCTAGCTGCAAAATGTATTCCTTGTAGATCTATCCTTGATCACAATTACCTTTATAGATTGAGAATGTTGAAAGCTAGGTCCCATGTAGTTTAGTACGGCCAAGTTGAGGTAAAAGTCTCAAGTGGATTGGCAAGTTATGCCCCCAACTAGGCACATTCATGAAAAATAATCCAAACTCATCCATGTATGTACCAAAATGCTCTTTGCCCTCAGTGAACTTGTAAGTTGTACATAAAATCCTGATTTGAGCTACCAGTATAGTTGTACCTTAACGTTTCCAAATTGACTTTACGAAGTGGATTGTGAAAGATTTTAATCATATTATGATTACAGCAATCAGATTTTTGATCCAACAGAGGCACATTTTGCCCTTTGCATTGCAATAAAAACTGATGGTATGCTAATTGTCAATAAGGAAGACAGCTTACATGTAGGTTCACTTGCCCTTGGTAGAGGACAAACTATTGCAGGGTACTAAACAGATACATGTGTGTGTGGGTGGGTGGGTGCGTGGGCAGAAGGGTGGATGAGAATGCTGATCCTGTTTTGTGCAGGACTGACATCAGTATAACAAGGATAGACCAGTTCTTTGGGCACACATTTTGTCAGGTTAGAGACAAACTGACAGGGAAAAAGAAGTCACAAAACTTACTTCATGTCCAAATCATTGAAATATAGTTACAACAAAGAACAACACAGATTAGATCAAAACAATTGACATTCATGGCCATACTAGAAGTGCAATTTTGTATTTTCTTAAAAATAATTATGAAATTAAAATGCACCAAATGCACTAAAATTATGATTTTTTGGTAGGATTCTGCAGTTTAGTAAGTACATGTATGTACATGTACTACCAAAACAGTTCACAACTTTCTGTACTCACTGTTACCTCATAGATCAATACATGTAGTTGTAATACTACAAATACAGTTTTCAAACTACTTTAAAAGCAATAAGAGGGAAATTCCAGGTGAAAGCAAGCACACATGTGCTCCTAATGGCAGGCTAGGGTACCGTATTGTGCATCAATCAAGCTACTAATAAACAAGGCATCGTACTAATTGGGCCAAAAAGCATTACATGTTCCAAAATTGCAATACTTCTCTGTCAAATGAGACCTTTCCTCACGTATAATTAGTTTTCAATTGCATTTTAATAATATTTGATACTCCAATCTACACTTCATAATTTCATAAGTTAAGAAATTAGTCATATTGATGAGTACAAATTCTGCAATTACCCATGGCAATACACAGCAAAAAAGTGCAAAAAAAGCTATATATACTGAAAAATTTTGTGAACGGAAGTGGTGACTTTGCTATTTTCAAATTTGGCAGTGCAAATTAACTTAAACATGATGCAAAGCTTCCTTCTTTTTGTGTTGCAAGTGGCAATGATATGCTGTTGGTAATGTACTTTTTTAAAAATGTTATCCTATAATGGATCTCTGCCCATGATAAAGCTGGTGCTATTTATGGTGAGTCTTTGTGATGACAGATGTGCAATAAAGTACTGTACACAAACTCTGCTGAAAACCTGGTGATACCAATCACAGCAAAAAAGCACAAAACCTTGCAATCCTCTTCATCTTCAAAGCCATATAATGGGTTCCTTGATAATACCTAGGAAATAGGCTTTTGGGGTCCATCACATAAAGCAAGATATTGGCTTCACCAGTAGATATTTCCTTTACCTTACTGTCAGGAGTATGCCCTCACTATAAAGTAAAATGGTTGATAACAAAAGCATGGGAAAATACTATTAGGACCAAGAGAATACTTGTATCTCAGGAAATTTGCACAGAGAAAGTTGACTAAAGCTGTCCATTTATCATCCCTTTTGCTCTGCTAGGAGGATTTAGTGGAGAGGTTCAATGAAGAAGCAGCCAGCCATGCATCATGTGAGCAGGACACTCTTCATCACACTCCCCTCAAACCCAGGCTGTCTATCTCTGAGGCAACAGCCTCCAGCAT